CATGACAGGACAAAAACAAACGTACATAATGAAATACAGTGGGTACATGACCACGGCTGGGTGACCGCAACAGCGAATAGCCAATTACTGCGGGCCCGTTACTACAGGAGGAAACCTAAACTAAACTAATTCATAGTGGGTACCTCTATCAGTTCTAAACTGTTCTGTCTAAAGGAGTCTTCGTTTTTTGGTAAAATTATGTTACTGTCCTCTGGAAAGAACAGTTTAGAATTATTTTGGAGCTTTCTAATATTAATAGAATGAGTGTTTGTGTTAGTATTTGTACTTTATACGCACTCGTATCTTTCAGACAAGAAGAAAGGCTCAAAATCAAAGAAAGGCTCAAAGAAACATTTTGACTATCTGTATGGTCACGGACCATGGTATGGACATGGGATAGGTCATGGCTATGGTCATGGCTATGGTCATGGGCACGGACATTATGGTTTCCCTAGCATACCCTGGGGATTTGGCTTGCCTTATGGTGTTTATGGCAGGTATGTGGTTAATACAGAGTTGTACAGGGTGTCCCAAAAATACCCAAAATTATTGAAATAATGTATTGATATAATATGAATGTCTCAGCACCAGGGACGCCGGAACTGGGGGGCAAGAGGGGCAGCTGCCTCTCCTGCCTTTTGCTAGGAGGGGCAAGGGGGGGACAGAAGTGCCCTTTGAGTTATAAAAATACTACCTGATAATGTGATCTTGAATGTGACCTGATTAAGTGCGTTTGCTTTCATTGGCAAGTCAACACATAATTGTAGGTTTATATCTTAACCGGGGTCTATAGAGGTGCCCTTTGGTGTGTTTGCCCCCCTTGCCTTTTTATCGTTCCAGCGCCCCTGCTCAGCACTCCGCTGAACCCACAAATGCATAAAAGCTTGACATAAGCAAATTTTATACATAAAGAAACTGTTTAAGAAGCTGCTTTAAGTTTCCAATAGCACAAAATCGTGCGCTTTACAAAGATATTTTAATTTCTTAATAAGTCAATATTTAATATATGCACCCTTCATGATTTTTCTGTGTTGGTGTAGTGTACTCAGGTGAATATGATGCTTGTGATGTTACTCTGAGTGTATATCCACACCGAGCAAGCTTGAAAAATATGCCTGGCCACGGTGGGAATCGAACCTATGACGTTTGGACTCGAACCGACCAGACCGCGTAGCTCAGTTGGCAGAGCATTGGGCTAGTATTACAAAGGTCGTAGGTTCGATTCCCACCGTGGTCAGGCATATTTTTCAAGCTTGCCCGGTGTGGATATACACTCAGAGTAACATCACAAACATCATATGCACCCTTGTCAATATTTTACGCATCTTTGCATTCAGCTTAGAGCTAGGGCATTCAAATTTTAACAATACGTTAGTTCAATAGTTTTGGGGTTTTTTGGGACACCCTGTAGTATCCAAACCATGTGTTCTAGGAACAGTTCATGAAAGAATATAAATAATATCTTAAATGCTGTTCTGTCTTTCAAGATGCTTCTCATTCTTTCAGATAAATCAAAAAAGTAGAGGATAGAAGCTTTAAAAAAGGATTGTGCATCTCATACAACGTTTGATGTTGAAGAAGTGCAATTTTTAACATTCATGTAAAAAACTCGCTAGTAATTACTTTTAGTAGAATAGATTAGGAAAATATATACTTAATAAAATTACTACATTGCTTTCTTGTTTTCTATGATTTTATTGGGGTTTACCACCTTAATCAAGCAAATAAAAATACTTATTTATAACCCGATTTGAATGAAGAAAATATTTAATCAGGGATGTCCGATTCAGCATAGCTGGTTTAAACGAAGCCCTGGCTACAAACAAAATTACAAAATTACAACTGATATCATAAATATTAACATACAATCTAAATGTTATGGTAAAGTACAATTTGGAATTAAAAGCCTTTAGGAACTTCTTAATATCTATCTTAAATTTTGAAAAACTGGTTTCATTTCTAAAACTTGATGGTAGCAAATTTCATGTTTTTGCTCCATTGTATCGAAACTTAATACTTTTTCGTTCTTAGCCACTGAACATCAGAATAATGATTACAATATTACTACACAACATTGCCGACTCGAAGAACCAACAAAAAAGTATTACATTACGTTATTATCTATGATGTTACCATGGAAACCCTGGACCCCCGAAGAAAATGTTACCGGGGCCCCATTTGTACGTATTCCCGTCCCATTCCCAACCACATGGGCGCGGCCATAGCAGGACTTCACGCCGACAAGGCGTTTTGAAGCCTGTTTTGTGAGATTCTTTGATTGAGCGAACTTTTGGTGGCTGGACTTCGTCTTCGTCTATTTCTTGTAAACCCTCAAGCATTTGATGGCCTGGAAATGAATTAACACAACATTAATATATAGTTAGAAGTTTGTTCATGTGTTAATCTTAACCATTCTCTAAGGATCGCTCTCCCTATGAATATAAATTGGATAAAACTCACTTCCAATTCCCCCTGGCTCGGTAACTCAATGGGTAGATCCATAGATATCTTATATACACTAGATAGTGCATGTAATTATTCTGCAATTCAAAAATTGAAGCCGTGATTGCAGACTCAGGATATTCCCATGAAATGAGAAGACTCGTATGTTTTCTATTTCTTAACCAGGGAACTTCAAATGATGAAAGTTATTGTTGTTTTTTAAGCGTTTATTAGCGAGTGGCAAACTCCAACATGGCCTCTTGGCTTCAATTTTACTAAAAGAGATGCGCTATCTAGTGTGTATAAAATATCAATGGGTAGATCGCGGATGTCTGGATACTCAGAGATGAGAGAGACCCACTTGAGACAACAAATTTGTAATTTACTTTTTGTAGTAATGCTCGTTTGAACATGCTTAACAAAATCGCTTCTGAACTTTTGCTCTCTGCATTTCGAGATACGAAGCAGTGTTCAGATCTCTGACGATCATCTTGTACAGTAAACTAGTACATGCTTGATAAATTTGATCTAGTTTTATTCGCAACTCTTTCGAATCGACTTTGAAAGCATAAACCAACCTGGAAGAAACAGAGGATAGTGAAAGCCGTAGTAAGAAATCACTGGCGCTACAAAAGGACGCATGGCCGTGCCTGTCATTGTTTTGTCCGCTCCATCTTCGCTGACAGTATCTTTACCAGTCTCTTTCGTTAAAACTGTCGCAAAAACCATCCAAAGTATAACATACTTTAACCAATAACTCAGTAACTCCATGAAATAGACCTTTTAAGTCGTTGTAAGTTCTTAAAACGTTCTCAAAATACAATTATTTTTCCGCTTCGTGTAACAAAACCGTTTTAATCCAGTGTTGACGTCACAGAGGCAATCTCTTCTTCACTTGGCTTCAGATAACGAACTCAGGTTTCTGTATTTCTAAATCTATCTCTTTTAAACAACGTTCTCTTATGATGCTTTATTGAAGAAAAGAAATGAGTCTATCAATCAGAATAGTTGCTATAAAGTTAAGTTATACTATGACAGGTAGATTCTTCGCTTCATTAAATCTTGTCTGACACACAAGAATCATAATAATTATGACTTCGTATTGAGTGTAACTTACTACACAATATGTCAGTGAAAAGAAAGCCATTGTTAACACAATTACTATTGCTTCTTTTAACCATTTCTTCTATAAGAACTGATACGACGGAGGTAAGAAAATCAGAGAAGAAGAAATATAAGCCGCATTCCTCCAAGTCTAAACTAAATATAGATAAGGGAAATCCATGGCCGTTTTTACCGAGTCCCGGAAGTCATTATTCTGCGACCAAGGGATACCCAAGCTATCCATTTATGATCGTTTCCCCTCCAGGTAAGAAGTTGAAAAATTTGTATGTACGCGTTGAAATGTTGTTAGACTTGGGTTAGCGACACAGGCTCACACGCTCAACTTCACAAATGTTGTAAGACGATTATACTGCATGTCCGTCTCATTTTTTTAAATTTTCCATCAAATGGCTACTGTATATAATAAAAGGAATTAACATGCATTTTCTCACTCTGATAACTGCAGGTTGAACACCATCTGCCGCACGATAGTTCTTAGTGAAACCCAGCTATACAGTGCTACATATATATAGTCGTCAATATTTACTGCCTCAGCATAAAAACCGGACTAATCAAACGATGCTTCCAATACATGTATTTACTATCTAATACAAGATCAAGACATATAGTGAACAATTTAATCACTCTGACAACTCCAATTATATAGTTACACTGTCTTTAAGTCTGCTTTACACTGGTCAAAGTTTCTGTGATTACAGCAGGAATTTTGCATGGGTAAATTCTAAGTTTTGAAGGGTTTGTAAGAAATGTTAGAGGGAATACCCTGGTTCCAGAGGTTTATTTTTTTATTTTCATTGCGAAGGGGAAAGGAAAAATAAACCTCTGGTTGAAAGCGGCAATTGATTCATCGAGCCGCGCCAATCAGTTTGAATTAGGGTCAGAAACTGACTCTGTCTCCTGATTAGATGATTGTGTTAAAGCTCTCTGATTGATTCAAATAAAACATATATAATAACCAATCAGAGAGCTTTAATACAATCATCCAATCAGGAGACAGAGTCAGGATCTGACCCTAATTCAAACTGATTGGCTCGATGTTATCTAATCTAGGTGTTAAACAGATTGTCAATTCCCTCAAACATTTCTTACAAATCCTTCAAAATAATTTACCGATGCTAAATTCCTACTGTGATCACAGAAACTTTGATAGTGTAAACCAGGTTTTGGTAAAACCAAACGATACAAAAGTCTGACATTGAAACGTGTTTATTTAGGCCAGGAGAAAGAAGGCAACGAACATTTACAAGACGAAAGAGGAAGTAAATATTTTGTGAGCAGACGTCAATCAGTACCAGTCCCTCAATCTGTATTCACACCAGTACAACAGAACATTGTGGGTTATGTTCCAGTATATTATATGCCACAGTATTCCAACACTTATCAACCAGTGTACACGAGTTACTATGAACCAGATGTATTTGGGAATGCAGTCACTCAACCGTATTCAGGTGGAGGGCAAAGCATTCTTTATAGTGATTATCAGATGCAAAGCCCTTTCCTGTTTTCTAAAAGGTAAGTTTGCTTTTTACATTTGATATTTACGTACTGTTTAATAAACGAGCAGGATTGCTTTATCAAACATAAAACACGAGAGTGCAGTTCGAGTGTTTTATATCTGATAAAGTACGGACTGCGAATGTTTTAAATGGCTTTTCAAACACTCATTAATAATTCATAAGCTAATTGACAAATCATGTCAACCATAATATGTCACGTGCAGTGGCTTTAAACCTGATAAAACACTCTAATTAGTATTCTTTATATAAAGAATACTAATAAGGCAGTTTATTTATTGAATTTGTAGTCGTGTTTGAAGCCGTTTAATAAACTCGCAGGTCGTGTTTTATTAGGTCTAAAGCCACTCGCGCTGCGCGCTTGTGGCTTTAAACCTAATAAAACACTCCTGCTCGTTTATTAAACAGTACAAAAACGACCCATCTGATGAGTTCATTGGCGAAATAATCTTAAAAATAAACGTTTTCTAAGCGGAGAAAATCAAAGCTAAAGTTGATGTAAATGAACATGATTTTTTATCATATATAAAACCACCGACAAGGCAGAGATTTTCTTTGTCTTTTCTTCAAAAATAATTATTAATGAGTTTTTAAATGTTTTTATAGTGTTTGACTGCAATGTACAGTATTTCGGTATGGTTCAGCATTGCTGGATTTCATTTTTAAAAAATGATAACACCCCGTTTTCTTTTCCTTCAGATCTGACGCGAAAAAGCCACGTGACAAAAAGCAGCCAAAGAAAAGACAATTCGTTCCACGTCATCACTGGGCTTTTAGCCAATGGCCGTTTGACTCTCACGAATACGCATTTACCAAAGATCCTGTATACTCCTCAAATCACCGTCACCTACCCAGATGGGGACCTATAGAATGGGGCGGGGCAGGGCCTTGGCGCCACTGGGCTATAAATCGAGAAGGCCTCCCCTCGCCATTTGGTATTGGACTTGCCCCACACATGGGGGGACAGGGATATGTTGGACTTGCAGGGCGCTGGCCTGCGGGACATGGCTATCCCTTACCCACTCATTTCCCTACCCCACCCCATCTATAACATTTGTTACCATGAGTTGTAACTAATTTAACCTGCACCATCAATAGTACGAGAAACTGCTCAATCTTGTGGCTCCGGACTCCATAACCCGAATTTTACAGGCTAATGCTGACTAGCCCCAGTGAGCAAGCAAAGCAGAAGCTAAAACTCGCTTATCTGCAACGTCAACTATGCAAGGGAACACAGAAAACACGTGACTCTTAGGATAGTTTATCTAAATTATACCTATCTGAATACTGTATATTCGTTGTAATATAGTATTTGTAAGTTAGAAGCAGTCTAATGTTGTTTATTTGTACTACAAATTATACCTATAGTATCTTAATATATTAGATTCGTAATTTAGTTTTGTATAGAATTTTTTCTTCTTTTTTTTGTTCATGAATATTTTGCCCATGTATTTCTCTTTCAATGAAGCTTGATGTTTGTTGATTTATGATAGTAAAGAAGCTTTTTTATTATCGCTTGTTTTCTGTTATGGATTAACAACAAACCGCACACGTTTTAAGACAAACGTCTCTGTGTTAAACTCTATTGACTACTCTTGAACTATTCCACATATTGAACAGTCGACTCATTTCAGTAGAAGATTTTTTTACCCTTTATATCGTAGCGCCCTTGCATCAAATATCAACGAACAGAAACATATAGGTAGTTTTCGAAATTTTGAACTTGCGTGATTTTGTGCTGGCGCGCAATAAATGGTTATCTTTCATTGTTTAAAGCTGGGTTGATTTATACTGAATAGCTGATCTATAAGTTCTAAAGGTCCAGAAGAGGTCACCCCTTCTTTATTCAATTTTACTACAGGAGAAAACTGGAATACCCGCGTGGAGAATATTTGCCGTGTTTGGTAGAGTCAAATTGGAAGCACTCTTCTTAAACGGGACGTGGTGAAATTATAATCAAACACCTGCAATCTTCTTGATTTCTGTCGCATTAACAACCAGAAACAATTCCACGCTTCATTACTCGCAATGAAAATTTAACATTTTTACAATGGCTTGATTTAGAAGTCTCTATAGTTTTGTTCGTTTTCCGAATTTCTAATCTACTTTTGTTGTTTAGCGCTCTGCTGTGATGCAGTTCTGAGCGAAAAAATGAAAGGATTTCAATGGCTGCGATTGTCAATTTATGTTTTATTACTTCGACTATGGCTGAGTCAGTGTTTGCCTGTGAAAAGTTCACTCAAACATAATCACGGTAAGATTTTAAACTTGGAATATATAGAACTATCACAAACTATGATGTTTGTGATGTTACTCTGAGTGTATATCCACACCGGGCAAGCTTGAAAAATATGCCTGGCCACGGTGGGAATCGAACCTACGACCTTTGGAATACTAGCCCAATGCTCTGCCAACTGAGCTACGCGGTCAGGTCGGTTCGAGTATGTGATATTACAAACTATGCGTCATGTTGTAGAAATGTGAAGAGAAATAGATAAACGCACAATGCTACACTGAATTGGATTATAACTTGCATCGTAAGATTAAGTAAGTTTAGAAAACAAACTCAAGGCGGTAAATTTGAACTTTGTTTATGAATTAAAATAAACACTTGAAAGGCAAGCTGTCGTCGTGTTATTATGTTGTGTTTCTCGTTGCCAAATAAAATAATTTGGCGTTAGACAGAGTGAAGAAGTGTTTTATTAAACGGTGTAGTCTGGGTCTGGAAATATGTTAGTAGGGAGTTAAGCTTTCACATTATCTTCGAGTTTCATCCTATTTCCGTCCCCAGAGCCATTTTCACTCCTGAAGGGAAATACTTATGATTGGCTTCTCAGAGAACTGCTGTTTCCCAGAAGTTGAGTAGTTTTCGCTAGGAAAAATTATCAAAATATGTCAACACAAATACTTTGTTTCTTCGTGATGCGTCTCTGTTAAAATTGTTACGAGTTCTGAAGCGTCCCATTTCAAGAGCATGCGCTTTAGGAACTACTGCAAGTTTTCTTGCACTTCCGGTCCCGTGTATCCCAAGGCCTATGAAGGTCGCTCTCGGCCGTGAAGCCCTGGGAACGAAAATAGTTTCATCCTGGCAGAGAAGAGGACGTTGATGACACAGTGTTCTTCTCTGTGACTGAGGTTTGAATCCTGCAATATACTGTTGTCTGATTGTAATTTCACCTTGAAGTCACATGTGAGAAGAGTGCTTTCAGGTTCTGTATCTGTACCTATCTAGGGAGAAGATAGCGCTATCGAGTACAAAATTAGTCTCAAGTTGTTTTTTTCAGTTCGTATTTCTAAGCTTGTTATTATATTTATTTTTTAGGTTTATCTAAGAATTTTAAGCGACACAAAACAACCCATGAAGAACACCACTCTACTTCGCCTATCAAACAAACGACAATTCCTTGGTCAAAAGCTGAGCACGCTAAACCACAAACTCAAAATGCCTCTTCGCGTACCATGAGTGCAAATGATTTTGAGAATATGGCCAAAATGTTCGCGTCCCCTGTCACAGCCCCTTTAATAACGGCGCCAATGAGTGACACACTTCTCCCTCCTAACCCCGTCGAGGCTCCTAACTCTCTCCCAAATATGCGTTGTATAACCAGTTCGTATGGCTCTGAGCTCTGCCTTCCTGACGCAATCACAGGCAATCATCCCCCGTGTGCTGATAACCCGCACCCAGGCGTCGGGCCGTGTGGGTTCCCTGGCACAGGTATCCCAGGATTTCATCCACAGTATCCGCTTGGCAGTAGATGGAAAATGACTAAGACTGGATACGTTGCTGACACTATGAAACAATGCTTGCAGGCTCCATTAAGTAAGTTTACGTTTCTCTTATTCTGACACGTGATATTCGGTACATGTGTGTTTTATTTCTGTCACCACATCGTTGTATCTTCACCTCATCCGCATGGGCGAAGAGTGCTCCCAGTTTGACCCTATCAAACACCACAGGATACAGTAACACTGGATCAATAAGAGATGATACTTACTGGACCTCTAGGGAGAACAGTTTAGAACTGATAGATCTGTCCAGTATAAATAAAGTTAGTTTAGTTTAGGTTTCCTCCTGTAGTAACACTGGACCAATAAGAGATGATCCTTACCGGACCTCTAGGGAGAACAGTTTGAACTGATAGAGCTATCCTGTGTAAATAAAGTTAGTTTAGTTTAGGTTTCCTGTAGTAACATTGGATCAATAAGAGATGATCCTTACTGGACCTCTAGGGAGAACAGTTTAGAACTGATAGAGCTATCCTGTGTAAATAAAGTTAGTTTAGTTTAGGTTTCCTCCTGTAGTAACACTGGATCAATAAGCTAAGAGATTGTTCTTACTGGACTTCTAGGAAGAACAGTTTGGAACTGATAGAACTATCCAGTATAAATAAAGTTAGTTTAGTTTAGTTTAGGTTTCCTCCTGTAGTAACACTGGATCAATAAGAGATGATCCTTACTGGACCTCTAGGAAGAACAGTTTAGAACTGATAGAGCTATCCAGTATAAATAAAGTTATCCTACCACATATTTCCAACCTAAACTAAACTAACCAATTTCTTCTTTCAGATGAGGACTGTAATTCCTGGGGATGTGACTGGTTTGGAAATTTCCTTGACGATGATGATAAGAAAGGCGGAGGAGCGGGTGGTGGAGGTGGGGGAGGAGGGGGGGCTGCTGGAGGAGGGGCTGCTGGAGGAGCGGCTGCTGGAGGAGGGGCTGCTGGAGGAGGGGCTGCGGGTGGAGGGGCTGCAGGTGGAGGAGCTGCAGGTGGTGGTGGAGCTGCAGGTTTTGGGGGTGGGGGAGCTGCAGGTGGTGGAGGAGGTGGAGCTGCAGGTGGAGGAGCTGCGGGTGGAGGTGGTGGGGCTGCAGGTGGAGGAGGGGGAGCTGCAGGTGGAGGTGGGGGAGCTGCAGGTGGAGGTGCTGCAGGTGGGGGTGGAGGCGGAGCTGCAGGTTTTGGGGGCGGGGGAGCTGCGGGTGGAGGTGCAGGTGGTGGTGCGGGTGGAGGAGGAGGAGGCGGGGGTGGAGGTGGTGGGGGACGTCCATTCTCAGATCCTTCTCAAGCGTGGAGATTTCCCTACAAACCAAACTTCTTCCCAAGTAATGGCCGTCGAAGAAGCTTGGATAGTATATGTGGAGAACTTCGCAGACACTTTACACAAGGAAATAACAACTTTGGAAACGCACAAAACATGGAGAATTCACAAGTGCATAGTTTATTTGAAAATATGAAAAACTTCCCTTTGCAGCTTTCCAGTTCGTCAGGGAACAATAATTTTGGAAATCTCCCAAACCCTTCACTGACACCCAATTTTGCTGCGAGTAAAAGTGTTGAGAATTTTGAAAGTATGGCCAATGACCCATTGTCACCAAGTTTTGCAGGCAGTAATAACTTTCTTGGTGATAATGCGTTATTTGGAGGAGGGAATCGTTTAGATGATGTTAATTTAAGAAACTCGATGGGTAATGGTAATGAATCACCAGACTTTCTGGAAAGTTCAACTTCAATGAAAATGGATTCAACTCGAAGAGTGGAAAGCCTATGAAAGGGAATGGTTTTGATCAGTTTATGGACAATAATGACCAAACAGATGGTTCAATGAGTAACTCATTTTCAGATTATGGTGGTCAAACATTTGACCAATCCAGGATTTATGAATCTCGTGATGATATGTGGAATGGCGCTCAGTATGATGCGATGCCCAATTATGGTTATCCTAACTCGTATTATGATAATGGTAACTCGTGGTTGACGGAGGATTATAATGGATATCGTAGGTTAGTTGTTGATACGTTGTAGTCGTAAGACGGTATAGATCACGAGGCATAAATTTCTGTGGTTTGTGTCTGAACGACCTGAAAAAGATCAACGGCAGCTTATTGTAGAATACTGCCTACGCTGCACCCATTTAAACCTTTATCTGATAATGGCATACTCTTACTCCTATACGCTATTGCAAAGAAAATAAAAATTGAAAAGTAGAAAAATAATTATATTTTCACGCTATATTTTCACTCATCCCGTTTCAGTCTGTTATATATAGTTCAGTGGTTTCAACCTTTCAGCCAATCAAATGCCAAGATGCATTTTGATGGCAGCCGGTCTTTTCAAAAACGAAAACAAATATGGCTGCCAGTTTTCGTCATAGGGCGGGTAAAATTGACGGACTTTAAAGCGATTTAAACTTGGTTTTTATAAAGTGAATTGCTTTCTGAACGAAAACACTGATTCCTCATGTACGATGGATATTTTACGTCGGGAATAAAAGGCCTAACATTGCAACTAGCACTCTGAAAGGTTTGTTCAAATATTTATATGCCCGGCAGGCTGGGAAGTAAATTGTTAGTATACAGTAGTTAATGTTCTTTCTTCTCATTCCAAACTATCTATAATATTCATGTAGCTATCTTGCATGGTACTAATTATTGTAGCTTGCATTTTATAGTACAGTAGATATTTTAACGAATGAAATTTCGACGAAAGTCTACAATATAAATTTCTTTTCTTTTTATGCTGAGATAGTCGAGCCTGAATTTCAAACAGTCACTCAGTACGTAACTTGTCCCTGTCCTGGATAACTAAAACGAGATTTATTGAAGAACGAGGCATTTCAAAACAGCGCGAATTTATTCGAGGCTTCGTCGACCGACTTTATATGAATGCCGTCATGAATTTTCCATCTCGCTATCTACAGAGCTTTGGCAAAAATGGACGCCAGAATTGACATATACATGCTCAAATTGAATTAGTCTACAACCAAAATTTCACGTTGTTTGGACTGTTAGATCACGAGTTGCAACGTTTTGAATATTTAGTTTTTTGTTGACTGGGATTTGCTAACCCGCGTAGAGAAAATGTATACAAAAAACGAAATTTTCAAAACTTTATAACTCGCGACATAACTTTCCAAACAACGTGAAATTTCGGTTATAAACTAAGTTGAGCATGGGAAATTCAATTCTGGGATCCATTTCCCCAATTGTGAAGATGAAAGATTGATGACACTATAAAGTTGGATCGTTGAATAGATGATTCCATGCAGCTATGGACTAAATTTTGATCTAGGCAAGAGGAACAAAATCCATCACAACAGCTAGAAAGAGCATGTTACCATTTGTAAAATTGCAAAGTTTAACCGCGAAATGTTGTAAAATGCGGAAAATATAGCCCTACGAAATTTGCAAATTTTGTATTAATTTGTATTACGCACGGGAAAATGCACCACATTTAATACAAGTTAATACAAAATTTGCAAATTTCGTAGGGCTATATTTTCCGCATTTTACAACATTTCGCGGCTAAACTTTGCAATTTTACTCATTTTAACATGCTCTTTCTAGCTGTGGTGATGGATTTTGTTCTTCTTGCCTAGATCAAAATTTAGTCTATATCTCGAATCAGCTATTCAGGCCGGTTTTTTTCCAGGAGTTCCTCTTTGGTCCGTTTTTGCAGAGAAGATTGAGTTTAGCTGAACAGTTGGGGTGCATTGGGGGGCTGACACCTGTTCTCAATAAATGTAGTTGAGACGCAATGTGTTAAAGCAGGGGCACTAAGGGACACTATAAACTGGTTAAAGACGGCGAATGTACAGTTTTTCTTGTGTTGTGAGATGTCGGGTTTTAATTGTCGGGTTTCCAACTGAAAACTATAATTTCCACATGTTACGAATTTAACTCAAACAACGTCATTTTACTGCACTGAAACTTTAGTGAGAAGATTGAGTTTCAAAACTCAATTCAAGATTGAGTTTTTGGGGCCGTTTTACGGCCCTAAAAAATCCCGGAAAAAACCCCTGCTATTGTAGATTGGAAAATTGTATTGATCAAGGTGCTTTTTCTTTAGAGCTGGGATGGTATTCGGAAACAAGACAAAGGATGCAAGTCATGATAAAGATTCTCTAAAGAAGTCCAAGAATATAATGGCAGTACCACATCCAGATAAAAACTGGAGACACAAGAACGGTGTCTGGTACTACGTGAAAGAAAGTGAAAAAACACACAAAGGTGACTATCATAGCAAGTTTTTACTCCCAGCTATAAGAAAATGGAGACAAGCTCATAAGAAAACAATTGGACATAAAAATAAGAAGAAGCATACATAAGGCAAAAAAATATGTGGGTATTCCGGTTTCCTGATCCTACCCACTGTGATCCTACCTAGTTTTTGGACGTCGAAATCCCGAGCCTAAACATTTTTATTGGATCATGCTTGTAAGTGTTTCCACTTAGAGGAAAACGTTTGTAGAAAATTAGAATTTGAGGCAAAAATAGGGAAATTTATCTTTTGATGTGGAAGCACTGACTAAACAAACATGGCGTCCGGTTGTTAGGAAAATTAAAAAAAATTTAAAAAAAGAAGAAATAGGAAATTCTTACAAGAAGAAATAGGAAACCCACATATTTTTTTTTGCCTGATCTTCATATCATAGAGGTATATCATCAAAGGGTCATATGAAGTTCAAAAGAAAAAAGGGTAGGGAGGGAGTTGCTCTTCCAAAAATACAATTTATTTTTGGTTCAGCACCTTTTCCAAAGTCAGATTTTGACCAGCTGTTGTACCCCCTGACTATTTTTACATAAGATCATATATTGACCAGCTGTTCCATCAATTGAAAGCCAGTCCCCCCCCCCCCGGGGGTATCTAGACTCTGCGTTTGAACTGTCTGCTTCAGGGGGGTTAGGGTCTACTATTGTATGTTTGTAAGGATGAGGGTATACAAATTTTAAATTCCTATTTTGTTGTGTTGGAAAAAGGTCAGCTTGCAGAAATTGAATATTTAAAAGTAGTTTCACTCCTCGCCAATAAACTAGCAATAATAAATTAAATAAATTACAAAGTTAATTAGTTCAATTAAAAACAATCATGTAAATATCTCACTAAATAACAATAAAATATAAACTAGAGACGTGAAATTTTAGAGAAATAAAAACTAAAGTTATAATCTAGTATAAAAGCTGCTTATTAACACGGCAAGTATCTGGCGGTTGAAAGGAAGCAAGTCATGCATTCCTCGTGCTATTTTTGGCTAATTTAGACCACCAATTTAGGCCTGCCTATTGTCTGGAATTTCTTATCAAAGTAAACAACAATAGATAAAACTGATAAAAGATTAAAGATCAACGTAAGCTCTTAATAGTTCTTTAACCGTTTCTTTAGCTCGCATGAATAATCCTACCCGTAAAGAATAAAAATATTGTTTAAAATCTGCTGGTAACACTATCAACCACCTGACAACGACTACAATAAATTATCTTAAACAGTTATTTTACACCGATTGTCTTTTAAAAATAATCTTTCTAAAATATATTCGCCGAATCACATCAAGGTTCCAAGTGTGAAGTGTTTACCACCAATATAGTTCCAATGAAATTGTTTCGGATATGACTGATTCACTGTATTCGGGTTTTGTGTTGTTTATTTTGTTGGTCGTCTGTTCTAGCATTCCTGTACCTCGGAAACAGACTGATGTCAAGGATTCCTCGCAAATCACGCTAAGAACTGATGAAATCGCGAGATCTGGCCAGACGCATTCTGGAGTGCCGGCTCCGAGTATGGGTTTAGGTTCAGGTGAGCGCCATTTTATATTTTGCTTATTGTTCGAAACTTTACGTTGCTTGTCTGTATCACACTGAAAGTGCAAGATTAACGCCTGTATTCTAAAAGCTCACTCACGCTCAATGAGTGGAGGTTCAATCTGAGCTTCCCTTGAGTGTCAATGCTGTTTTTGAATAGCTGGAGGGTGAGTAGTCACATAGTAAGGTACGACACTAACCCTCCAGCTGTTCAAAAACAGCACTGAAACTCGAGAGAAGCTCAGATTGAACCTCCACTCATTGAGTGTGAGTGAGCTGTAAGAATACAGGCGTATGTGATCGTCGTACGAATTTCATCAGATCTGATTTTGTTTTGCAAACCAAATTCACTAGTTTCGCAAAGCTTTGGCAATTGACCATTTGCGTAATAGACTAAATTTTGATCTCAACAAAAATTTCATCACAGCTTGAAAGAACATCACAAAATTAGTAATATTCCAAAGTTTCGTTGCGAAATGTTGTAAAATGCGGAAAATATAGCCTTGCGAAGTTTTCAATTTTCAGTCATTTTAGATTACAAACGGGAAATTGACAGCCCCAAACCCTTCGAGGCTGTCAATTTCCCGTTTGTAATCTAAAATGACTGAAAATTGCAAATTTCACAAGGCTATATTTTCCGCATTTTGTAACATTTTGCAACGAAACTTTGGAATATTACTACTTTTGTGATGCTCCTTCAAGCTGTGATGAAATTTTTGTCTAGACTTGTTTAGTTCAAAATTTAGTCTATTACGCAAATGGTCAATTCGTAAACCAGGATTTTCATCTGCAAATAACGGATACGAAGTTTGCGTTGTAAAGAAATGTGCTTTCACTACACAAGTTAGAGATATCGCCGTACAAGGAATTTGTTTGCAATTCAATTGGAAAAACGCAGTGCATAGTAAATTACCTAATATGAACACGTTTTGTGATTGGTTCTCTGAACGAAACTGCCAGTGTTTATGGCTTGATCTTTAGCAAGATCATCTCCATAGTAAATTGTCTTTTATTATTATGATCAACCAATCACAAAGCTTGTTCATGTAGGTACGGGGCGACCCGAATTAAGCGCATACTGCGCTCTCTTCGTAACCCATTGAGCGTCAGCGCTTCCGCCTTTACGAGTAAAATCGTCTGGCATTAGACAGCAAAAAAATTCGACCGTAACTTCGGAAATGGAACACAACCAGGAATGCATCCAAGTCGCATTTCTCGTTTTATCTGAGCAATTTTGTATGTTGAACAGCTTAATCCTGGGTTAACCAAGACGATTTTTATAAAATTTCTGGAAAACTTGTTTAAACCAATAAAATGTGTATTTTCTATTTAACTTTGGATTAACTTAACGGATTAACTTTTAACTTTGTACTGGGATGGATCCAGCATGATCTGGTAGGTGCTTTGCCAGCTCTGCTGCCGAGTTGTGTCGGTCATGTGCACCGCCCGCCCATCAACTTGCTTGACTACTGCAAAGTCTTGCTTGACTACTGTAAAGTCTTGCTTGACTACGTACTGCAAAGTCTTGCTTGACTACTGTATTTAAATTGTAAATGTTGTTCACAGTTCGTTTATCATCATGTTAATTATTACTCAAATTACAGTATCTCATTTTGTCTCTAATATTTTTTTGCTTTATCATAAAAATAGCAGTAAATCTGCCCAGTAAATCCACCCCTGACTTTATACTAATCCAGGTTTGAACAATTGGCCCCTGAAAATGTCCTATTCTCTTTCAAGATGTTAAACCACAAGCATCAAGAAACATCAAAGCTTCAAGAAGAGACGAGACAAACATGGACGAAACTGTAGAAGAAAACGACGATGAGCAAGAAAAGGATGACGAGGATGACACGAAGGTGAACGATGATAGCTTGATGAACGGCCAGTCTGATACGAACTCTGTCGAAGACGACGCGAGCAAACCAATCATAAAGGTGGATGAACCCGAGGCGAAGAAGTTGAAAGGTGACGAAAGTTTAGAAGGTGATGATGGAATGAAGAGCGAGACAATCGCGAGTTTTACAAATGATTTGGAACAGAGTCGAAATGATTTGGAGAACGATGGCAATTCTGTTGTCACTACAGGCGCTTTGAATGATGAGGGGAAAACTACATCACTGAAGAATGGTAAGTTATTGAACCACTGCATCAGTTGGTTTCGCGTTTCGGCAGTGGGTCTTTTGAAACGTATAGGAATATGAGATTAGACTACATCTCCATTTTTTTCTTTCAAATACAAGATTTACTAGATATCATGTATGTAAAACTTTATTTAATGACGCTAGCCTTGTCAACAGTAATAGTTGATTTCCACAAGGGGCGTCACTAACACAAGAAAAAGATATTTACAAAGAGAGAAAAATATAAATATAAAGCTATTTACGGGAGATTTATAAAAGGAAATTAAATGGACCATTTGCATTATAGACTAAATTTTGATCTAAACAAGTCTAGATAAAAATTTCATCACAGCTTGAAAGACCATCACAAAATTAGTAATATTCCGAAGTTTCGTTGCGAAATGTTGTAATTAAAATGCGGATAATATAGCCTTGCGAAGTTCGCCGTTTTTCAGTCATTTGGTATTACGCGGGGGAAATTGACAGCCCAATACCCTTTGGGACTGTTAATTTCCCGTTTGTAATGCAAAATAACTGAAAAACGGCAAACTTCGCAAGGCTATATTGTCCGCATTTTACAACATTTCGCAATGAAACTTTGGAATGTTACTAATTTTGTGATGCTCTTCCAAGCTGTGATGAAATTGTTGTATAGACTTGTTTAGATCAAAATTTAGTCTATAATGCAAATGGTCCATTGATGTGACCCGGTCGTATATTAAGATCTATAATTGATTCTATCTAACAATATAATTGTTTTACAAAGTCATATTTTACAAATCGTGAAAATAATTGTTTTACAAATCATGAAAATATTTTATCACTCTGATAACTGCTGATTGTATACCATCTGCTGGCACGATTGCGCAAGAGCTTCATAAATTGTTTAAATTAATTTCTTATTCTCAATGTAGACAAGAATAATTACGAAAGTTTGGAAGGAGATAGTCTGGACACCAAGGACACTGACAGTTCGTTTGATGGAAGCAATGGTCAGAAATCTAAAGGTAAAACTGATGTTGCTACTCATTCCGGGAGCGATAGTGCTATGGACTCTGATGGTGGCAATGATGGTGACAGTACCAGTGACAGTGAGAGTAATGGTCACACGGCTGATGAGTCAGATAAGTATAGTTCAAGTGACATTAATAATGATGATTCATCCAGTACTAATAATGGTGGTTCATCCACTACAAATGGTGGTACTTCCAGTACTAATAATGGTGATTCATCTATCAACAGTGCTGATGAATCTTCCACAGATAACAATGGTGATTTAATGAGTAATAGTGGTGATACAAGCACCACCAGTAAACCAGATACCAGTAACTATGGTACTCCGAGTGAATCTGATGATGCATTAAATAATGATGTTACTCCTACCAGTGCAAGTACCAACACAGATGGTACTACTGGTATTTCGGACAGTGAAAGTACCAGCAGTTTGGATGGTGACATGGACTCTGAAACTAAGGGCACCACAAGCAATTTTAGTGATGACAGCAGTTTAGATTCTGAATCCAATTTTGGTTCCAAAAGTACCAGTAGGTCTGGAGGGGAGAGCAACTCTGGAAATGATGGTGATACCAGTTTGGACGGCGAAAACAATTCAGAATTTGGTGCCAGTAATTCTGATGGTGCCAGTAATTCTGATGGTGCCAGTAATTCTGATGGTGAAACTAATTCTGATGGTGACAGTAATGATGAGGCCAGCAATTCTAACAGTGAGAGTACCAATAACTTTGCTGGTACCAGTCACTCTGCCAGTGAAACCAGTGCTTCTGATGGTGCCAGTACTCCTGCTAGTCACAGTACCAGTAATTTTGATGGCACTCAAAAATCTGAGAATGAAAATACCAACACTTTTGATGGTCTTGACAGTGAAGATGGCAATTCATCTGATGTTGTCAACGATGCAGATAGCTTTGATAGCAGCAGCAGTTATGACAAGGAAACTTCTGGCGTATCTGATAGCATTAATTCTCTTGACGATGAAAGTACCAAAACACTTAATGGTGCCACCAATTCTGACAGTGGAAGTACCGATGAATTAGATAGTTCTGGCAATTCTGACAATGAAAATTCAGGCATATCTGATAGCAACAATTCCCTTGACGATGAAAGTAGCAAAAGTTTGAATGATGCCACTCATTCTGACCGTGGAAGTACCAGCGAATTAGATAGTACCAGTAATTCTGGAAGTGAAAGTTCCAGCTTATCAGATGGTACTACAAATTCTGAAAGTGACAGTATGGATAGTACGAGCAATTCTAACAGTGACAGTTCGGAGAAATCTGATTCCAATAATTCCCAGAATGACGATTCCTCAGAGAACTCGGAGTCGGTGATGTCAGCCAAGGACACGCATGAAACCAAGGCTAACGATGCATCTGTTAATCAACCAAGCACACAAAAGGATACTCCAAAACCCGAAGCATTTACGTCACAAGCATCTGACAAAGCTAGTCCCAGTCTCACATCTGAAGGCCGAGCAGAGTCGGAGGAGATTAGTAACAAAGCATTAGAGAATCAAGATGACACCATTAGTTACCAGACTCCCACTGAGGAAGATGGTGATGACGTAGTTAGTTACCAGACTCCAACTGAGGAGAACGGGGATAACGAAAATGAAGAGGAGTCCCAGACCTCTGATAATGATCAGGGTAGTTCTCTTGGTACTACTGAAGCTGGAAGTAATCAAGCAATGGAAAGTAAGTATTAATGGTTTATACTATTAAAGTTTCTGTGATCACAGTAGGAATTTTGCATAGATAAATTCTAAGTAAGAAAGTGTTTGAGGGATCTGACTCACTGTTTAACACTGTTTCAGTTCTGACAAATTATAAATATATAACTTGTCAATAAAACATGGACAGTCAACAACATCAAAGACCATTAAAAATATGTTAGGCTTAAAAATATGCACATTTTCTCTCACTTCTTGACTAAGTGTGTTACTGTTTTACAATCTTTAGCTGCATAAAATTCTCTTCTTTCCCCAGTTTCTTTTTGTATTTGAGACTCTAATTTTCTTCTTATATCGTCAGGTACAGCAGGAAGCCAGTCAGATGGAAGTAACCCACCAGAAAATCCGACAAGCACTTCACAAACAACAAAGAAACCGTCGGATAATGGTGATGATGATTACTTCGATAAGGATGATCAAGATGACGATGATGATGATGTGGATGAAAGTGATCAAACATCAAACCCCACCCCTACTGAGAGCGCATCAGATGATGTAACTCCCAGCCCCAATACAACTCCTACAAATTCTGCCGTCTCCCCTATGACCGATATATCGACTGAAGAGTCATCCACCTCTGCCCCAACTTCATCCCTCGAAGATTCTAGTCCTACTACACAAGAAACTCCGTCTACTCTAAATGATGAAATGACCTCTGAATTTGCCCAGAGTTCAGATAGTAACTCCGCCTCTCAAAGTGAAACGTCTAGTGAAGATAATCCTACTACAGAGCAACCCTCAAGTACAGACTCCACCTCTACCCAAAATACAGACTCTACCCAAAGTACAGACGAAACCCTCTCTGCAAAACTGGCTTCTTCTGAATCAACCCATAGCTCAGATGACAACTCCGCCTCTCAAAGTGAAACGTCTAGTGAAGATAGTCCTACTACAGAGCAACCCCCAAGTACAGACTCCACCTCTACCCAAAATACAGACTCTACCCAAAGTACAGACGAAACCCTCTCTGCAAAACTGGCTTCTTCTGAATCAACCCATAGCTCAGATGACAGCTCCGCCTCTCAAAGTGAAACGTCTAGTGAAGATAGTCCTACTACAGCGCAACCCCCAAGTACAGACTCCACCTCTACCCAAAATACAGACTCTACCCAAAGTACAGACGAGACTCTCTCTGCCAAACTGGCTTCTTCTGAATCAACCCCCAGCTCAGATGACAACCCATCTTCCCAACGTGAAAAGTCTAGTGCAGATAGCCCTACTACAGAGCAACCCCCAAGTACAGACTCCACCTCTACCCACAACACAGACTCTACCCAAAGTACAGATGAGACTCTCTCTGCCAAACTGGCTTCTTCTGAATCAACCCAGAGCTCAGATGACAACCCCTCTTCCCAAAGTGAAACCTCTAGAACTGAAGATGGTTCTACCTCCACCCCATTTCCACCAGATTCTACGAAACAACAAGGTGATTCCAAAGAAGCGAGTGTCAAGATTAGCCAATCAGAACCGAATATTGCGAATATGGTGAACAGTGACATGGGCGATGACGAAGAAGACGAATTAGATGATAGTGATGATGATGATGATGATAATAAAAATAATAATGATGATAGTACCAGCGGACAAGGTATTTACCATACAGTTATTGTATAATACTAACGACATTATACTCCAACCTTCGAGATATCTTTACATGACTGAACCGTATTTTGTTTGTCGATTTATTGTAGAATGCTACCTACACTGAACCACCACGTTTTGAGATATCTTTTTCAGGTAGCTCAGACACAAACCACGACAGATTATTGTAGAATACTACCTACACTGGACTACCACGTTTAAGATATATTTTTCAGATAGTTCAGACACAAACCACGACAGCTTATTGTAGAATACTACCTACACTGGACCACCACGTTTGAAATATCTTCATCAGGTAGTTCAGACACAAACTACGACATATTATTGTAGAATACTACCCACACTGAACCACCACGTTTTGAGATATCTTTTTCAGGTAGTTCAGAAACAAACCACGGCAGTTTATTGTAGAATACTACCTACACTGGACCACCACGTTTGAGATATATTTTTCAGATAGTTCAGGCACAAACCACGACAGCTTATTGTAGAATATTACTTAGGGTCCGTGGACGTTGATATAAGAAAACCTACACCTGACATTACATATTTTCTTTGTTTGCTTTAGTTTTCTCCGCCAAATCTCACCGACATCCCTTGGACGTCAAATTAATAGATGACATTGATGAGAGGTTCGATGACGCTGAGGAACGAAGCAAAATACACGCCGCGCGTCGCAAACATTTCCTGGGACAGGCTGTGCATCCTAAACATTTGATAGGCCTAGGACCTAGTGGGGGCGCTATGGGTTATGGAGGACATGGGGCATATGGAGGACATGGTAAGATAGGATCATGAGAAGATTTTTGTGGTACTTCTAAGCACTAGTGAGCATATTTGTACCACTTAACTAAACTGGATAACTCTATCAGTTCTAAACTGTTCTTCCTAGAGGTCCAGTAAGGGTCATTTCTTATTGATCCAGTGTTAGCACAAGAGGAAACCTAAACTAAACTAACTTTATTTATATTGGACAGTTCTATCAGTTCTAAACTGTTCTCCATAGAGGTCCAGTAAGGATTACCTCTTATTGATCCAGTGTTACCACAGAAGGAAACCTAAACTAGGAAGAACAATTTAGGACTGATAGAGCTATCTAGTATTAATAAAGTTAGTTTAGTTTAGGTTTCCTCCTGTAGTAAAACTGGATCAATAAGAGATGATCCTTACTGGGCCTTTAGGAAGAACAATTTAGAACTGATAGAGTTACCCAGTATAAATAAAGTTAGTTGAACATCTTATTCTAATTTCCCAGGCGTTCCTGGTGTAGGTCCATATGGTTTTGTTGGTACAAACGTTCCTGGCTTTCCTACAGGATATCCTCTGGGTACGAAGTGGAAAATGACAGATCATGGTTATGTTCTAGATCATGCTGGTTTTCAACATCCTTTATCCCCTCATTCAGGTGAGGTCAGATTAGAGAGCTTTTAGCAAATCAATAGACCAGGGGTCGAAATTCCCGCTATTCCGAATATACTAAAATGCCTGACGGAATAGTAAACTTCATGATCACAGTATTCCGTTTGTATAGTAGAAAAAAATTGTGGTACCAAATATCAACAAGCAAGGGTTTTCCTCTTGTATAATATATCACTTTATACCGGACTTTGAGCCTCTGTTCCACTTCGTAGCTAAGTTCTTGTTCGCTTGCAATACTTGCGTATTCTAATTTCTTTGCACCAATATTATTGTTGATTTCAAGTCACTTTTCAACGCGCGATTCCCAAGTTCGTTGCGAACTTGCCAATTACGTTTCCAAGTTCGGAAATTGGGCGCGAACTTCGCAACATTTAAAGTCCGCAAGTTCATTTCAGTGTTTGAACTTTGTTTTTTATTAATAATTTGTTCACTGTGCATGTTTATTTTTTGTTATTCAATTATTCAGTTCACTTTAGGAGTCTCAAGGATGATTTCACGAAAATCAGAACATTAGCGCGGACCCTGCATGAACAGAAACAGTACATTAAGGAATAGTGGATTTTCAGACGGAATAGTAAATATAAAAATCTACTATTCCGGCTGTATAGTACAGAAAAATGTAAATTTCGATCCCTGTAGACAACTTGCATGTTAGACTAATTTTTGATCTAGCCAAAAAAATTCCCGTAAAGAACTTATTAAAATTAGTAAAATTGCAAAATTTGGTTACGAAATGTTGTAAAATACGGAAAATATAGCCTTGCGAAGTTTGCATATTTTGTATATGTTTGTATTACGTGCGGAAACTGTTACCGGCATTTTTGAGCCGAAAATGGCAACAAATTTCGCACGTAATACAAAGATATACCAAATTTGCAAACTTTGCAAGACTATGTTTTCCAAGCTTTACAACATCTCGCAACTAAATTTTGCAATTTTACTAATTTCATTATGTTCTTTTTAGCTGTGGTGTTTGATTCCCTTCTCTTTACTTAGATTAAAATGTAGTCTAACATGCAAGTTGTCCATTTTCATCTACAAAGTAGCATCATTTGCCCCCTGTCATTATATTTAATACTAATGATCAAATTTGATTTCCAGCCTGCAGCTGTGGTCCAATGGGCTGTATCTGCCATCCATTTTCCTTGAAAGCCGCCAAGGGTAAGAAGCGTGACAAGGGGACACATAAGGTCACTGGTAGTACAAAGATGGATAAGAAAGAACAGACAGCTTCAAAGAGAGGGACTATCTGTAAATGTGGTGCACTGGGATGTGGCTGTGCTCCACTCCCCGATGAAGAGACTGGGGCCAAGCGAGAGGATGTGCCTGCTACGTCACCACATCCGGTAGACCTTGCTGTTGGTTGGCCGTTTGGATATGGACCGAGTTTCGGTTGGGGGCCTGGAGTCGGGTAAGTCTCAACTCTGAATAATTTACTTAAAACTGCTGTCGGTAGTGGTCTTGAAATACACGTCCTTTGTGGTAGATTTTCACTAAACTTCAAGCTTTTTCTTTTTATTCTACAGACCACTAAAGCCTCTGTGTCCGTTGGGAAAGCGCGATAAAACGAAAAAGACTGGATCCAAGTCACACAAACGTTGTATAGACGCTTACTCTCCAAATATGGCCAATAGCTTTGCGGCCGAGCCTTTCATGGGATGGCCTTTTGGACTTCATAGTAATATTGGATTTGGCTGGCCTTTTTCTGGATGGTAATACTTAATTATTTGTATTTTTTAAATGACGTTATTTGTGCTTGGTTCAGTGTTAGTATAGGAGTTTTAAACTGTTCTTCCTAGAGGTCCAGTAAGGATCTTCTCTTTATCTCTTATTGATCCAGTGTTACTACAGGAGGAAACCTAAACTAAACTAACTTTATTTATACTGGATATAGCTCTGTCAGTTCTAAACGTTTCTCCCTATAGAGGTCCAGTAAGAATTATCTCTTATTGATCCAGTGTTACGACAGGAGGAAACCTAAACTAAACTAACTTTATTTAAACTGGATAGCTCTATCAGTTCTAAACCGTTCTTCCTAGAGATCCAGTAAGAATCATCTCTTATTGATCCAGTGTTACTACAGAAGGAAACCTAAATTAAACTAACTTTATTTATACTGGATAACTCTGTCAGTTCTAAACGTTTCTCCTAGAGGTCCAGTAAGGATCATCTCTTATTGATCCAGTGTTACTACAGGAGGAAGAAAAGTACTTGGCAAAACTGGAAGCACTCTATCAAACTTCAGTGGAATTTGAAAAGGAACATGCACTAACCAAACTAGGCATTAATTAATTTTCTTTTTTGTAGTTCCGGAGGTGGGTGCACTCTGGGTGGTCAGACCTATATCAATAACTCAGGACGATAACTTGGATACATATACATCTCATGTAAGTCTTAAAATTGTGCTTTCTACTGGAAAGTATACTTTCATCAGTTTTATGTATACAAAATTTAATTTCATCTATAACTATGACATCAACAACAATTAAATTTAAATTAAACATACTACCAATTCTAAAACATATTTGCATATCTATCCTAAATATTTTTCTTTTCTATATCTTACAGCCAATAAACGGATATCCTAAACCAATAAACTAAGAAAAACCGACTTCAAGTCTTTAAAAACTTAACCTTAGTTTATGAAATAACTAATTTTTAAAATCTTACTGTGTAAAATATTAAACCAAGTTATATTAACTCAGATACAGTTTATAGACGTCACTAAAAGACGTATGTCATGAACTGTGGTTTTGTATACATGTTTGTTCACTTGTATGAACTTCTATTTACAACATTATAATGGCAACAAAGAGAGCTTTACTACGACAGCGCAGTCGAGTGTGTTGCTTGATTTACACAATACAACTCAAGTTGTAAGCAGGTTGCATGCGACAGTTTTAGATAAAAGTTGTGTGATGTAAATCCACCTTTACTGACGCGCAAATAACGAACTGCTAAAGCTTTGTAATGTTGTGATGATACTCAGACTCTCAGTGTACACTGAACTAAGAGAGCAGTAAATAAACTAAGACTTCACTGTTAACTTCGACTTCAAGTCACTGTGTTTGTGTGAATTAACTGAAGTAAATTTAGTAGACTACACTCTTTGCCAAAAAACTATGGGACAGCTGCTGTAATTTTACACAATATGAAAGGTGTAGCGCCTTCCGTTCCTCTAGTTCAATGTTGGCCGCACAAAAATCTGATGTCTGATTGCACGACACCAACATTGAAACAGGTGGGGGAGGGAGAGTGGTAAGATGTATCAGGAAATGGTATAATACATCTGAGTGCATATAAAAACTAGATTGTCCTAATGTATATTGTGAAAGATTGTATATAGACTCATTGCACTGACGTCACAAATCCTTAGTGTCCTCCAGATGCTCCCTAACAATATCTGTTCGAGTACAACAACCACATACATACAGCGCAAAAATTAACCATTTTAATACAAAATTATTATAACGTTTTGCAAAATTTGCTTTGTTTACAAAAGTTATAGTATGCATAGATTGCTAATTTGTCCTCCAGATGCATCGTTACCGGTGCTGTTACGTCATGTGCAATGGGTCTATAGAAATAATAACATGAAATCGAGGCTGTCCAAGAAGGCAATTAGAAAACAAACTATGTGAATGTTTTCAAAAATTTCTTCCAAGTATTGGAGTGAGACCCAAGTCCTGCATTTCTAACAAGTCTCTTGGATTTCTTCACTTTCTGTGCCTTCTTTTCTTCCTCTGGGCATTTGGTTAGTTTGATAAATGATGGGTCTTTTTCTGCATCCGGGTCCTTGGGTTCTTCTCCAAACGGATCACATGGCCAGGGTATCCCTGTGACGCGATCGTAAACCATTGGATAATGTCCAGCTCGAGCGACTTTGTATGCTGGCATCTTCAGTGAATCCTCGTCTGAAAACACACAGTTAACTTCATTATATTAAATGAGTTTCACGAAGCATTATCGTGCGCCAGATGTTGGTCAACCTGCAGTTATCAGAGTGAGAAGATAATGTTCATTCTTCTCATTATATGTAGTAGTCTTGTCTAGTCAGTGAAAATATTTCTGAATTTAACCAGGGCCTGGTTGTTCGAAACCAGATTAACCAACCCCAAATTAAGTTTGATTAATTCATTGATTAATTAATTGATTAATTAATTAATTCAGATTGCCCAACCCCAGGTTAACGTAAAATTCAAACCAAACTTTCCAACAGCTTGGTTATAAATTTGGAAATATTTTTCAAAAATATTGTTTGGATCAGTAGGAGTTTTCTTCTCTGAAGTTTTGAAATAAAAAATACAAAACAGAAATAGATTTAAAACAGAAATTGAAACAGCAGGTTGAATTTTAACCCAGGGGTTAGCGCTAATCCACCCGGCTTTGAACAACCGGCCCCATCTTCTTAACGCTTACTGAATGCAATTGTTACTCCAGTTAATATAGAGCTCAGCATCCTAATCTAACGTTATACCCTTAATAACAATTTGTGAAGTTATAGAGATACATTATAAATTTGATGGCAGGTTAACTTAAAAAATAATAAACTTAAAAATTTTAAAAAACGTAATAAAAAATTAAATATTTGCCAGTTTAAATGTCCTGCCTCGATGTGGCATTCTCATCAAGACGACTGTTAAAATATATGTGAAACGTAGAGAATAAAATGTATTGTAATTAGTATCCATTGCATTGAAAGTATTTAATGTAAAAATATTAATATTACCGTTCGCCACATCAGCTAAATTTCTTTGGAAACATTCAGCCAAAAGAAAAATGAAATACAAAATTCTTAACATCCTGACCCACACTATAAGTTCATAAAGCAAAACTTGACAGGCGAAACAAGTTCTTAAATCAATACGTAGCGCCCCAACCTGTGATGAAATTGAACGGTTGATTGACCAAGAACATGGATGGGAATCTCGACTAAACATTTTATATTATCAAGACAAATGTCCAACAATGAAATGCTAATAAATATTTTGTTCAATTTCTTCTTATTTTACATCACACGTTTAACGTGTCAAGGTAATATGAAAGTTAGCACTGTATTATGAAATTTGATAAATATTTATAAATATTGCATTGTAAAATCCCTAAATCTCGTGTCCAGTGATGTCTGCTCGTCATATAACCTGCATCGGCCTATTTTGAAAAAATGATTTCAAATTTTTCTATAGAGCTTGAAATCGTAGGGAAGAACAGTATGTTGTACGATCCAGTCAATAACCTGCCTTATCCCTGTGATTCTGAAGCGAAGCCCAAGAAAAGAGATTTTATTAAGCGAAGATTTCTTGAAAGGAAAGACCTAAGAAGGTTCTTACGGGCAGATGGCGACAGCATTCCTATCAAACTCCCGCCATGTCCTTTCCCAAATGGCACTCAGGAACATCGCTGGGAAAAAAGTACGTGTTCACGTAAGATAATGTAGAGTTGTTTGATTCAGTGATACAGTTATGGTGTGTTGGTTTCAGTATGTGTGTCTTTCATCTCTATGACTTGGGCTCAATTGATGATTCCCCTTATTACGTTTTCGTAGCGCTTTGCATTGTGGTTATAGTGGTATCACTGATAAAGATATGGTTATAGTGGTATCACTGATAAAGAATATCAGTGATACCACTATAACTACAATGCAAAGCGCTACGAAAACGTAATAAGGGGAATCTAGTATTCCTGCGATATTATGGTGTGTTTCACGTTGACAAATAAAATAATTTGGCGTTAGACAGTAAAAAAGTATATCATTAAACAGTGCCGAGTCTGGGTATGGAAATATGTTAATAAGGAGTTACGCTTTGCATTATCTTCGAGTTTCATCCTAGTAAAGAAGGGGACGTTGATGACACAGTGTTCAGTACATTATCTTTCATCTCTGTGACTGAGATTTAATTCCTGCAATATACAATTGTCTCATTATAATTTCACTTTAGTCACATGTGAGAAGTAATATATGAACAACGAGTAGTTTATATGGCTTCTCAAATGAATCGAGACGTAACAGAATGTTTTCGTTTGCTGATTTGAATAGAATTCTTAACCAAGCATAACGTAATTAGGAATTCTATTCAAGTAATTTTGCATGCATAGTTAAGATATTTGATGAAAACACTAGTGACTTTCATCAAGTTTCACCGGGTTATCCAAATGGCATCTTGTGATCAAATAGGTGATTATCGTTGGCTGAATTGCTCATGAATTATTATGAATTTGAGAAGAGTGCTTCCAGTTTGACTCTACCAAACATCGCATTCCTCCTGTAGTAACTCTGGATGAACAAGAGATTAGACTAGGGCGATTTCCCTCCCTATATTTAGAAACTACTTTTATTGCTTCTGGTAAATGTTAGATTATTTTCTCTATTTTAGCGATAAAAAAATCCAACATGCCTGTGAAACTGAAACGTAAGAACAACATCCAGAAACTATGGTTTTCTAAGAAGCGAAATGATGTCATTCGAAAAAGTATGGTAAATGTTTTTATCCTGAAGTACCTAACTCCTCTAAAGACCCGCTCACACTTGCAATTTTCGCTACGATTTCTAGTGCGATTTACGTCTTCTGATGGATGTGAACGAGTGAATGTTCTATTTCTGAGTTCATGTACGCTCATCTCAATATTCATTACATATCATCTACTCGTTCATATGGCGTAAAAAAAAACCGTGGTTCCGGTTTCATATCGTGAAAAAAATAGGGTCGGTAGGTCGGAAATACATTTTTTTTTTAATATTTTTTTCATGGTTTTGGCGGTTTTTTGATGGGCGATTTACAGTAGAGTTCTGGCATCAATATTAACTAGAGATGCGTATTTCCTATGGACGAATTTAGGCAATTTGGTTCAATAATTATTGTGACAACAGACGCCATTTTGGCACGCTGTATGAGCAGCCCGCAACCACCTGGAGAAAATAGGGTCGCATGGTCAATCGCGTTGAAAAAATAATAGGGTCGGCAGAAAAAAATAGGGTCGGTCGGGAACCAGAACCACAGGTATTTTTTTACGCCTATTCATCAGAAGAGGAAAATCGTAAGTGTAAAAGGGCGTTAAGTGTCACCATTGTCTAAACTTGGCTACCATTTGCTGCTCTGTAACGCTCATCAAAACTAATACTTACTCCAACAATTCGTTTTCAGTTTCCCCCAAAGAAGAAGCGATTCGCGGCCAGCTCTACGCGGGAATTGACGTCATCACAGGCCATGGTGTTGGTCTATCAGGGGCGAGCCTGGGTGTCCTAAACATGCTACCATATATACATGCGTTTGACACGAAGACTGGCATGCCTTATGTTTGTGATCCGGATAAGAAGAAGCCTGATAAGAAGATTGATAATCGATGGAAGATGATTGTACCGCCTTGTCCTGATTTCAAGAAATGTTTGTTCCCGTGGAATGAAGGTTGGTCGAGATTCCTGGAATTATAATTTCACCACAGTCACATGTGAGAAGCGTGTTTTCAGTGTGATTCTACTTGGCTCTCCGGTTTGTTCCTGGATGAACAGTGAAGCTCTTAGAAGACACATTTACAATTATATTACCAGTATGAATAAAGTTAGTTTAGTTTCCTGCTGCAGTAACACTGGATCAATAAGAGATGATCCTTAGTGGACCTCTAGGAAGAACAGTTTAGAACTGATAGAGCATCCAGTATAAATAAAGTTACTTTAGCTTAGGTCCCCTCCCGTAGTAACACTGGATCAATAAGAGATGATTCTTACTGGACCTCTATGGAGAACAGTTTATAACTGATAGTGCCATCCAGTATCAATAAAGTTAGTTTACGTTTCCTCCTGTAGTTACACTGGATAAATAGGAGATGATCATTACTGGACCTCTAGGGAGAACAGTTTAGAACTGATAGAGGTACCCACTATGAATAAAGTTAGTTTAGTTTAGGTTTCCTCCTGTAGTAACACTGGATCAATAACAGATGATCATTACTGGACCTCTAGGGATAACAGTTTAGAACTGATAGAGCTATCCAGTATAAATAAAGTTAGTTTAGTTTAGGTTTTCTCCTGTAGTAACACTGGATCAATAAGAGATGATTCTTACTGGACCTCTAGGAAGAACAGTTTAGAACTGATAGAGCTATCCAGTATAAATAAAGTTAGTTTAGTTTAGGTTTCCTCCTGTAGTAAGACTGGATCAATAAGAGATGATCCTTACTGGATCTCTAGGAAGAACAGTTTAGAACTGATAGAGCTATCCAGTATAAATAAAGTTAGTTTAGTTTAGGTTTCCACTTTCCTCCTGTAGTAACACTGGATCAATAATAGATGATCATTACTGGACCTCTAGGACGAACAGTTCAGAACTGATAGAGCTATCCGGTGATAAGCTTGTTTAAATGAACTATTTGTATGTCTTTTTACAGCAAAGGATTGTAAAACATCTGTTGATAACAACTCGCCAGAATCTCCCAAACGACGTTGGATTATAAAGAGAGTCATTTGGCTCCCAGCAGTAACACCTCGGAGTAAGAAGAACAAGGAAATCTGAAACAGGTACATTTTATTAATTTTTTTCTAGTGCGCAACCTTCGTACGACTCGAAATTATAAACTGCGAGATAGACGCTAATATATTTGTAGAAAAATAATTAAAGATCTTATCAGTAAAAAAAGATAAAAGAATAACATGATAACACTGTAAATTAAATATTTTATTCATTTTTTCTATTTAAATAACTAAACTATTTAAAATAAAATTGAATCATATAAATTTACATAAATAAACGGAGCAATTTAAAGTTTGTTTGTTGTTTGTCAAATCTTGGTTCCACAACAACGATAAAATAGGGTTCTTTTAGAGACTGGTGTCTGTAATATCACTAATATGTACATCTTTTGTCACG